CGATGGGAGATTCGAGAAAAGGAGGCTATGCGATGAACCCAATATATTGCACCCTCAAGAGTCCAGACCTGGAATGCGAAACCCTCTATGTGGGAGCAGCCTTCCCATATGTTGGGCTGTTTGTGGGAGGCTTTGGGCTCGACATCGGTGTAGGGGTGAGACGGCTTGGATGTGAGGTTAGGGTTTGGGGTCTTTCAAGGGCTGCTAGTACCCTTCTTGAGTGGGCCTTTAATCTTGCGAGGTTCCGCATGCTACAGTGGAATGTCGAAGATATCTGGGCTGAGCTTTGTCTTGCATCCTGCCATGTCTCAAGCAGAAGACGCTTATCCCTAAAGCTTGAGCCTCCTAACTCCTCACCTATAAACCTTTTATAAACTCTGAACCCTAAACCCCTAAGCTCCCCGAACCGTACAGCAAAGAGAGGACACCCGCGGCGAGCTGCCGACGTGGCTGGTCACATCCAGGAGACTCACAGGGACAGATCTGTCAAGGTATGTGATAAAGGGTCCGAGGGGAGGAAGGCGCCTAAGAGCGTGTATATCAGGTAGGTACAGGCTTGGAAAAGCGGTGTAAACGGTATCCTTGCACCCACAAGGCCACTGAGCTATACCGCCATAGATCCTGAAGTTTCCTTCGGTTGCTGCCTATAAAGCCTAAACGAAACCTGAACCCATATATAAATGCCAAACCCGCGGCCGCCTTGCTAAGAGTGTCCCGAAGAGCTCTGAAGCGATGTAGGCTTGACACAAAGGCAGTCCTGCTCGTTTCACATGGGGGTTTCATAAATCTTGCACAGTTCCGAACCTTGGATGAACATTGCCTGTGTCAGAGATGGTAATGTCAGGCGATTCCTGTAGCTCCCTGCCGTCGACGCTTATTTTACATAGGATTCACAACTGATCATGATCGAAGACTCTAACACAAGACAGGGTTTGGGGTTCCCTAGGTGGGGCCGTGACCCTGTCAAGCTCGAGCACAGTTGGGGGACTGCCTGCACTAAGTAAGTATAGTTACTTGTAAGTGCAATGTACAGATGTAGAGACCCTTGTTCTAAGGAGCTGAACCCTAAACCCTGAAGCCCAAGTGGGATTGTCGATTTCTTCTTCATGGCTCTGCATTCCCAGTCCAACCCGCGATAGTGCATTTAAATTCGGCGCAGAGAGCATCAAGCGGTCGTGTGTGCAGAATAAACGGCTAACGGTTTGGGGTGCTGGGGTTTGGACTCTAAGGGTTTGGGAAACGAGGGTTTAGGTGTCTGACGGTTGGAGACAGACGAAATACAAACATTCAAACCTATATCGCAACTAAGAACCACAACAATCCTTCAATCGTCAACGCTATGCCTCGAAATCCCAAAAAACCCCGACCGCCTTAGCTTCCATCGCTATCCCTACACCCGAGAAATGATTGACAGGTTCTTCGACTTCTGGTTTCCAGGGCCGTCATAAGAGCATCAAGAGGTTTTGGTGAGAGGAGCCTGACAAGATCTTGCAAGTATCGCGCATCCACCCAAATAGCCTACACCTTAACTGACGGCCGACACCTCCCGACAAAGCATGAACCAGCCGTGAATGATGCGTGACAAGGACGATGGCAGCCGTGAGCAGGTGGCTTGTCAAGATGCCAGTGCGGATAGCTGCCCGGCCAATTAGGGGGTGCGCGAGGAATTCGAGGGTTAGGAGATATAGGGTGAAGTTTGGACGCTAAGGTTTCGGATGTTGGTTGATTGGGAGTTCGGGGTTCAAGGCTCGAGTCCATGAAGGCTTCATTTTTGCATAGCATTGACACTCTTTAGTCGATAGCAGAGGCAGTTTCGCACAACTGTTTGTGCTTTCACCTGTTGTGGCCTCGTAGCCTGTGGCTTGGAAGCTGCTGCAAGCCTGTGCGGCTTGCGGGTGCAGTCCTTTCAGCATGATGGAGCGCGGGGTGATCGTCGACGTCGACCCTGTCAAGCTCGAGGCCGGGAGTTTCAAAGGGCTGGTGCATGACTTCGGTGTTCCTTTCTTCCGTAGTACCCTTGCCGTGTCTCTGTTGTCAGGCCACCTGGCGCCTCGAGGCAGCGGACGTCGCAGACACCAAGAACGGAGAAAAGATTGTCAGCCCTCAACTGCAGCTTTGGAGGCACAGCTTTCGCATAGAAATCTATCCCTGTGGGGAACATACAAGCGAAGGCTACTTCAGCGTGTTCGTGTATGCGCCCGTGAAGGCACTCATTGACATTGACCTGGCTGGAGAGACTCAGCGTCTTGACATCACGGAGGAGGCTTTGAAGAGGACGAAAAACGGAGCCCTTGGCTGGGGAATTAAAAAGTTCTGCAGGGTCGTCGACCTGACAAATCCACTTGACATACGAGTCCGGTTCGGGCACATCGAGGGCAAGGGCTCCAAGCTGTTGTCGGAGGAAGCTGAAGTCCTTCGCCGCAAGCCCACAGAGGCCATCAAGGTTCAGGCCTTGTGGCGTGGGGTTGAGACCCGGCGACGGGAGGCGCTTCGCCGGGCAGAGGAGCAGCGGCGCCGCCGCCAATCCCGTGAGCTGAATGCGGCCTTGTGCCTGCAGCTGGCGTGGCGGCTGTACCAGCAACGCCTGCAGCGCCGTTGGCACAGCAAGATGGTGCAGGCGCAGAGCACTCCCTACGACGCCATTCTGGCCTTCGAGTCGCTGTCGCAGTTCCTGTCGACGGGGGAGATCCGGTTCCTGCAGCACGCGGAGTCGAAGCTGCAAGTGGCGAGCGCCGCCAGGTTCCGCATCGTCGCAGTGGTTGGCCTCTTTGACAAGGGCAAAACCTTCCTGATCAACAAGCTCTTCGGGGTGAACCTGCCTTCCGGGAAGCTCCACACCACCAAGGGCTTGAGTTTTCTGTGGATTGAGGAGCGTCGGATGCTGGT